GAAAGTTGTTGTTTTTGGTAATATGTAAGTCTCTTCTGCATTTGGAACATTAGCAAGTATTCTTAATTAAGCCAAGGTCACAAATGAAAGACATCAAGCGAGATTCATCAAGAACTCAGTTTGATAAATTGCGATAAGAATAATCTCAACCATTGCAACTTGCCATTACAGTGACCCTCGTTTAACGAACACCTCGGTTAACGTAATTTCGATTAACGAACTGCCTTCCATAAGGATCTTCAATTCGGTTAACGAAAAAAAATTCGCTTAACGAACTTCTTACGAACCGACCTCAACATGTTTTCGCTTGCACTGACCGGGCAACCAGCTTTAGTATCAGTCCGCCAATACATTAATCGGTTCTAGGGCTTAAATTCCTTACTATTTTTGTAAATATCAAGAAGTTTATACTATTCAATAATTTTAAAAGTTTAATATTCAATTTTTTAGTCATTTTAACAATTATTGAACGAAATTGAAGGTAAAGTGACTAGTTTAATGCGCGGCATCCAGCCTCTTAACACAGCAAACAGGCGTCAGTCTCTCTCTGTTTTCACTGGAGGTAACATCTTGCTTGAGACTCTCTTCAACTAAATGCTTTTTTTCTGTGTTTCCAAGCAAATTATTGGTCATTTTGAAATATATTTTATATATTGACAATATATAATGCAGTGCAGCATTGATTTAAAGAAAATAATCTTGAATTAAACCAGAGAGCTAAAATTTTATGGGTGAAATGGCACCATGGGGTGACTTCTCTTCCACCCCAATGCCTTCTCTTCTTCCTTCTCCTCCACCCCCATTCTAAATCCCATCATCATCATCATCATCCAGGAGCCTTCTACATACACACCTCAAAGTAAGTGAACTTTTCTACCATTTTTGTTGAATTTAGGAAATTTTCGGTGAGCTGGAACCAATTACCCAAAAACCCATTGAAACAATGGTTTCGGTTAACGAACGTTTCGGTTAACGAAGCGACCTTCTGGAACGGATTGAGTTAGTTAACGAGGGCCACTTATGTTCAAAAGACGCAGTTTCACGTGATGTCCCCCCCCCCACCTCTGTAAAAGTGTGAGGAGACAGTTAATAGAGAATTGTGACGACTGTTAACGGTATTCAAAACAATTAGAAGAGAATGGAATCAGTCTACAAGATCCTGTAAAAGTCAAAATATGACACAATTACATCATTTATTGGTTCAATATAGATGATATGAAAAGAAGGGGGAATGCATTTAATAACTAAACAAGAGAACATAGACTGGTATTAACATAATGTAAAGTTAATAAAGATGTTTATTTATTTTATTTAAAGGATCAGGATTAACGGTACAGAATTTATACAAACAACAATGGCGGAGCCTGAAAAAATGTGCTGCCTGACTCTTGAAAGGTAAGAAAATGATCTATGGCATCACAAATGTCCCTAGACGTAATGTTAATGCCATAACATCAGTGTTTGCCGTGTTTTTACCCCATAACTTCCCTCATCCTTCATGCCCTGTCCCACTAACAAGGAATTATGATCATAGGATAAAGTAAATGAAAAATTCTTAAAAAATACTTAAAATCATAATAGAAAGTTGTCGTTTCTTTTAATGTACTTAACCCTTAGACACCAGGTGAAGTTCCAGAACGTCCGCCTATTTTCCCGCCATTTTTATTTATTTATTTATTTATTATTATTTTTGGAAATGATTCTTTTTTCTCGACTTAACCCCACGTGGGGGGTACTGACAGCAGCACCCTAACCCTGGGCTTCAGGGTTAAATTCATCAAAACATAAGTATAGGAAAAATGAAGACAATCAGCTTCTGGTGGTAGCCGTTGTCTACACCTTTACCAAAAATTCATTTGTGTCGCTATTATCCATTTCTGCCAGGTATATGTGGGGTTGAAAATGCTCATAATAGGGAGACCTAGATGTTTCAGTAGTATATACCTTAGGGGCACCCTATGTCCTGAAGTAAAATAATTCTTCTTTGTGTGTGCACTTTCTCCCTGTAGGTGGTGGGTAGGATACACCCCATATGGTCACCACTAACAGTCACTGGTATTAATGACAAATAGTAAGTTATTATTTTACACTAATATAAAGTACACGTGTATACAGACGACTGGAGAAGTATTGTTATTATTATACATGAATAATAATTATTTAATAAAGAAAACTGTTAAAACATTTGTCAATAAACAAAATACAGAACAAATAAAGATCATTTGGCACATCAGCACATAAATCACCGAGCAGTGAGGTGATTGCTGGCGTAATGTTTTTATTATTTATTTTCGTCTTTAATAAAGTTACTTTCGTGTATATATTGATGGGAATGAACGGGGTGACGAAAAGGGCAAAGCAGTGGTGATGAAATGGGCAGACGTAGTAGCCAGCTATCAAACAAGGGGTGCACCTCCAACTCGGCCCATCTCGGATAACCAACCTTTAACTAAGCAATCTACTGTTTGTTAGTGAAAACTCGAACATAAATGAATTACAAAATTAAAAATGTCACATTGGACTGACTTGCGACCAGCTTGGTGGTCCTGGCAGAGGGTCTTCAGCCTTGTCTGGAGGCTCTTGTAAATGCATTTTTGGCACTTACTGGTAGTGAAACAGTTTATTTAGCCAGAAGAACACACATACAGAGTTGATTCTTTGAGAAGATACAACAGCACAGTCGTTGAGAGAAGGGGTATCGCATTTGAAGATGGATTACACGACCTCACGTGAGGTGACCTAACACAATGTACCCACAGAGAACGACCTCACTTTATCTGGAGACCTGATAATGACACCCAACGTTTTGTCAAGTCACAAAGTCGCCCAATAACCTGACTGTGATACATGACTATCGAAGGACGTGACATAAGATGATCAGAGGAATGATGCATTGTAGCTTGGAAGTTCTGCAGTCGAATTATATATATATATATATACAGCTCCTCCCCGACTTACGACGGGGTTAGGGACCCAAATCCAGGTCGTAAGTCGAAAATTCTTAAATAATACATAGAAAATCTAAAATGGGTGTCCAGTATCTTTTTCTTCTCAGCACCACAAAATTCTCACTTTTAAGCTTGCCAGCCATTTTAAAGTGAATTACAAACGAAAATATTTTCAGGACACAGCGCAATCATTGACGTTGACTTGAAAATACTTAATTTGACAACATTTTGGTATGACTGAGGCAGGTCCTAAGGGCAGGTGGTCGTAAGTCGGGGAGGATCTGTACAGTATATGGTAAATTTTTACTTTAGTACATGAGTCCCTAAGGGTTGACCAATATGTTTTCACAATGTATTTTGGAGAGTTTTAAACGAATCTGACCTTCATTTTTAGCAGAAATTGCTAGTTACCCCCTCCCCCCCAACACTAATGGGGATGAGCCTGGGAAATCGGGGTTTTTGGGAGGGGGAGACAACGAAAACAAGTCATCTAACTGAACAAAACCTAACCTAACCTGACCCCTAGCCGAGAGCTCCGCCCCCGGACCCCCGGTAGGCCTAGCTTAAACTACTGTACTTTGGGGTGCACTATGTCCAAAAGTATAATACCTTAGTTGGACGAGGAAGGACCAGGGATACATAAGAACTGGATAGAATGATCGTCTTTCTCGTAAAACTCGGCAATAAACTTAAAATAATCGTAGGACCACAAATGAAAACCAACCTCGGCCACGGCCATTGAGAGACTAGTCAATGGAATTAAAATTGTACCTAGGCTGTTTCCTTTGAAAAAATCAAATGTGATAGGTAAAAAAAAATTTGCATGTCGAAATATCATTGGTCACGATTGGATGACATCAGTCAATATTACGCATGCGTGATGCGCAGATAACATCTCCTAACAGACGAAGTCTGAAAACTACGTAAAATAAATTAATTTCATTTGTGTCGCTATTATCCATTTCTGCCAGGTATATGTGGGGTTGAAAATGCTCATAATAGGGAGATCTAGATGTTTCAGTAGTATATACCTTAGGGGCACCCTATGTCCTGAAGTAAAATAATTCTTTATATATATATATATATATATATATATATATATATATATATATATATATATATATATATATATATATATATATATATATATATATATATATATATATATATATATATATATATATATATATATATGATAACCACAAGATAAGAACAAAACACGAAGTTCCCAAAGCGCTTTGTGTTTTCTTCTTTGGTAATCAATATACCTGAATCACGCGCAACTACAGTGATTTACTTGCATGCATATATATATATATATATATATATATATATATATATATATATATATATATATATATATATATATATATAGAGCTAGCCAGATTAAGGGTTCTGTAGACTCTGGGCACTTATATGTCCAAGTTCATTAACCTATGTTTTTCGAGTCAGGGCTGCGATTATTGAGGTGTCACTATCCAACAATCACTATGGAAGAATATGCTAAGAGTAGAGGAGGTTGAATGAATATCAATATCGAGGCTGTACAACAACTGATTGATGTAATTAAAAAATAAGGTATTGATTCTTCTATACATACTGTATTTATGTAACAGGTGTGTGTATTTATATATTTTGTGTTCATTAAACAACATTAATTCAAGCATTGTGTTTTCCTTTGGCCTTTTATTGGACGTGTTCATAGGCCTCACAATATCTAAGACAGTGGGATGAGCAGCAGCCCTGGACCAGTTGGTTACCTGAGAGGGGCCGAGTCCAACCCTGCCGCAGGGAATACATTGGAAGCATAATGTGTTGTCTAATGGTAGACCCTGCTGCCTAACAGGGGGACGGACCCCCGTCATATTAAACAGAAAGTACTTATCCAATCAGAGCGCACTCACGGTAAAATAGCGTTAGTAGGAATTTACCAGGTAACGGCAAAATACCCACCATGTAATACGTAAGATCACCAACACGTCGTTACTATAATTGTTTGTGCTACACACCTCAGTTATATGACATATTTAAAGAAGCTTTGGTTTAACTGACCAGGTTGACCCAGGTAGGTGTGGGTCAGTGTGTGTGGTGTACGCCTCCTACTGGCCATCATCCACTGTCGTCTTCCTCACGCTGGTCTACCACTAACACTAATGTTATCACAACACCACGAACTGGCCGCTACAGAAATGATTTACTTAGGTAATAAAACTTAACTTACCCTTTATAGTGTATATTAAATTACAATATAAAAATTAGATTAAATTTAATGTGTTAAATTAAGTTTATACAATTTATAAGTAAAATAAGAGAAGTAAATAGGCCAGAGGTTATTGGTGAGAATAATTGCAACATAAGGTACATACCACACGTGTTGTTATGGTCTAGGATAACGAGCCGAATTATTTTATTTATTTATTATACGTAATAATGCATCATGTTATCATTTAAGATATTTTATTATCAGTCACCTTGGTCGTACCATCAGTAGGGCTGTGTATTACATTTACCACTGTGATGAAGACGCCTCATTAAACTAAGTTCGGGAAATTTGTCACCTACAGTAATTATTTGACAAGTCTCCGTATGAGCTTTAGTTCATTTTTTAATGTCATCCTCTTCGCCACTGATCGGCTCGTTAACCGCTTGGTCGGTCGGTCACGTCTCTGTCACACACTGTTGGTAAGTACTGGGCATGCACCGGCTCCTGAATGTACCTGAACCCGCTCCAGTGTTGGTCAAGTCTGGTCTTGAAAGAGCTCACACTCGGTGCCGTCACAACACTTTCTGGTAGATTGTTCCAAGAGTTCACAACTCTCACTCCGAAAAAGTTTGCCCTCACAGTTTTCTGGACTTGCGGCTTCTTCAATCTTGAGCTGTGACCCCTTGTGGGGCGAGCGTCCGCCAGCTCCAAGTAAGGACACTCACCTGAGTAGTGCCCCTGAGATGCTTATACCCCTCAACTAGGTCCCCCCTTGCCCGTCTGTAGTATAAGCTAGGCAAGTTCAGGCACTCCAATCTCTCAGGGTAGCTGAGGTACCGAAGGGCAGGCACCAGTCTGGTGGCTCTCTGAACATTTTCAACCAACTGACAGTCCCTAGCATATCTCGGGGACCAGATGGGGTGACAGTACTCCAAATGGGGAAGCACTTCACTCCTGAAGATCGTTACGAGGGACGGACCGTCTTGATATCTGAACGACCTTCTTATAAGACCCAATAATTTATTTGCCTGATTTACCTTCTTCTCGCAATGGCCCGAGAACTACAGTCTCAAATAGTGCAGTTTCTTCATCCCTTTGGGACATATGATACGCCTCCTTACCGTTGGTATGCCCCAGGTGCATCCTCTTACCCTTCGTGACATTGAATCTCAGCAGCCATTCCTTCGACCATTCCTGGAGCCCACAGAGGTCCTTCTGCAGCTCTTCACAGTCCGCTTGGTTCTTAATTTCCCGAAATAACTTGGCGTCATCGGCAAACATTTGTATGGAGGAGTGTACAACGTCAGGCAAGTCATTTATGAAATAAACAAACAACAGCGGGCCAAACACACTGCCCTGCGGTACCCCGCTTGTGACAGGTACGGATGATGATTTCGTGCCATTAATCACCACACACTGCTTGCGGTCATTTAGAAAGTCTTCTATCCACGCTTGGACATTTCCCCGAATTCCGTACCCTTCCAGTTTGATTTTCAGCCTTTCGTGGGGTACACTGTCGAAAGCCTTGGCAAAATCTAGGTAAATATGTCGATATTACCACCCCGTTCCAGAATATGGGTCCAAATATCCAATACCTTGAGCAATTGTGTTAAGCAGGAGCGCAGTGGCATAAAACCGCGTTGGCAATCCTTTACAAGGTTGTTTCGTAGTAATATTCCATTGCGGCATCTCTGATAATACTCTCAAGTACTTTACATATTACTGTATGCTGGTCAGGCTGTGTCACCTACCATTCCCTGCATCACCTACCATGCCTCTGTATCACCTTCCATGCATCTGTGTCACCTACCATGCATCTGTGTCACCTACCATGCATCTGTGTCACCTACCATGCATCTGTGTCACTTACCATTCCCCTTCATCACCTAACATGCCTCTGTATCACCTACCATGCATCTGTGTCACCTACCATGCATCTGTGTCACCTACCATGCATCTGTGTCACCTACCATGCCTCTGTATCACCTACCATGCCTCTGTATCACCTACCATGCCTCTGTGTCACCTACCATGCCTCTGTATCACCTACCATGCCTCTGTATCACCTACCATGCCTCTGTATCACCTACCATGCCTCTGTGTCACCTACTATACCTCTGTATCACCTACCATGCCTCTGTATCACCTACCATGTCTCTGTATCACCTACCATGCCTCTGTGTCATCTACTATACCTCTGTATCACCTACCATGCCTCTGTATCACGTACCATGCCTGTGTCACCTACTATACCTCTGTGTCACCTACCATGCCTCTGTGTCACCTACTATACGTCTGTGTCACCTACTATACCTCTGTGTCACCTACCATGCCTCTGTATCACCTACCATACCTCTGTGTCACCTACCATACCTCTGTATCACCTACCATACCTCTGTATCACCTACCATGCCTCTGTATCACCTACTATACCTCTGTATCACCTAATATGCCTCTGTGTCACCTACTAAACCTCTGTATCACCTACCATGCCTCTGTATCACCTACCATGCCTCTGTGTCACCTACTATACCTCTGTGTCACCTACCATGAGTCTGTATCACCTACCATGCCTCTGTGTCACCTACTATACCTCTGTCCACCATGACTCTGTATCTCGCCCTCTGTCCACCTAAGCCTCCTTCTTTCTACCATGTACCTTATCACCTACCATGCATCTGTATCTTTTCTGTTCCCTGCATCTTCCTTGCCTCTGTATCACCTACCATGCCTCTATATCACCTACCATGTCTGTATCTACCCATGCCTCTGTATCACCTACCATGCCTCTATATCACCTACCATGCTTCTGTATCACCTACCATTAATCTGTATCTTACCTACCGGCACCTCTGTATCACCTACCATTCCCCTGCATCACCTACCATTGCCTCTATATCACCTACCGTGCTGCATCACCCTATGATGCATCTGTATCACCTGCATTCCTGCATCACCCTACCATGCCTCTGTATACCTACCATGCTTCTGTATCACCCTACCATGCCTCTATATCACCTGCATCTGTCACCTACCAAAGCCTCTGTATCACCTCCACCATGCATCTAATGTCACCTACCCCTGGCTCTGTATCACCTACCATGACTCCTGTATCACCTACCATGCTTCTGTATCACCTACCATGCCTCCTATATCACCTACCATGCATCTGTGTCACCTACCCATGCCTCTGTATCACCTACCATGCCTCCTGTATCACCTACCATGCCTCTATATCACCTACCATACCTCTGTATCACCTACCGTAGCTATATCACCTACCGCACTCTGTCACCTACCCTCTGTGTCACCTACCATGCCTCTGTATCACACTACCATGCCTCTCTTATCACCTACCATGGCTCTGTGTCACCCTACCATGCCTCTGTATCACCCTACCATGCCTCTATATCACCTACCATGCCTCTATATCACCTACCATGCCTCTGTGTCACCATGCCCTCCTATATCACCTACCATGCCTCTGTATCACCTACATGCCTCTATATACTGTGCCTCCTGTCACCTACCCATGCCTCCTGTATCACCCTCACCATGCCTCTGTATCACCTACCATGCCTCTATCACCTACACTTGCCTCTGTGTCACCCTACCATGCCTCTGTGTCTCTACATGCCTCTGTATCACCTACCATATATGCCTACTGCCTCTGTATCTACCTACATAGTCTGTATCACCCTACATGCCTCTATATCACCTACCATGCTCTGTATCACCTACCATGGCTCTGTATCACCTACCATGCCTCCTGTATCACCTACCATGCCTCTGTATCACCTACCATGGCTCTGTGTCACCTACCATGCACTCCTGTATCACCTACCCAAATGCCTCTGTATCTTACCATGCCTCTATCACCTACCATGGCTCTTATCCACCTACCACCTCTGCTTCTTCCTCTGTATCACCTCTGTGTCACCTACCATGCCTCTGTATGCTTACCATGCCTCTGTCCACCTACCATGCCTCTGTCACCTACCACTGACTCTGTCCATCTTACCTACCAGCCTCTATGCCCTACCATACTATCACCTACTACATGGCTCTGCTATCACCATACCTCTATATCTTTCTACATGCCTCTGCCTACCATGCCCCTCTGTGCCACCTACCCTCTGTATCACCTGCATGCCTCTGTATCACACCTACCCATGCCCCTCTTTATCTTTCCCCTGTATCCTTTCTACATGCTATCTACATCTTCTTTCTGTGCCTCTTTGTCTTCTTGAAACATCTTACAAAGCACTCTGTATCACACCCTACCCATGCCTCTATATCTTCCTACCGTACCTCTCTCTTACCCTACCATGGCTCATATCTTCTGCCTCTATCTTCTACCATGTTCACCTACCCAAATGCCAGCACTCCTACCATGCACTCTACCATCACCTACCATGCATCATATCACCTACCATGTCTGTGCTTCATGCCTCTGTAATACACCTGCCATGCCTCTGTATCACCCTACCGCCTCTGTATGCCTACCATGCCTCTGTATCACCTACCATACCTCTGTATCACCTACCATGCCTCTATATCACCTACCGTAGCTACTGTGTCACCTACTTGGCTCTGTATCACCTACCATGCTTCTGTATCACCTACCCATGCCTCTATATCACCTACCATCTGTGTCACCTACCATGCCTCTGTATCACCTACCGCGCCTCTGTCTTTCTCATGCCTCTATATCACCTACCATGCCTCTGTGTCTTTCGTAGCCCCTGTATCCTTTCTCTACATACTCTGTGTCACCCTACCATGCCTCTGTGTCTTCTGTACCTCTCCCACCTACCCATGCCTCATCACCTACCATACCTCTGTATCCCCTACCATGCCTCTGTATCACCTACCATCGTCTGTATCACCTACCATGCTTCTGTATCACCTGCCATGCCTCTATGTCTACCATGCATCTGTGTCACCTACCATGCCTCTGTATCACCTCTGTACTCATATCACCTACCATACCTCTGCTTATCACCTACCGTAGCTATATCACCTACCATGGCTCTGTATCACCTACCATGCCTCTGTGTCTCTGTGCCTCTGTCTTTCTATGCCTCCTATATCACCTACCATTCCTGCATCACCATGCTTCTGTATCTGCCTACCATGCCTCTGTGTCACCTACTGTGCCTCTGTGTGCCTACACTCTGTCACCATTCCCCCTGCATCACCTGTGCCTGTGTCACCCCATGCATCTGTGTCACCCACCACCGTATACTGTATCTACCATGCCTCTCTGTCTCTGTCCCACCTACCCCATGGCTCTGTGTCTGCCTACCATGCCTCTGTATCACCTACCATTCCCCTGCATCACACCTACCATGCCTCCTATATGCCTACCATGGCTCTGCTACCATGCCTCTGCATCACCCTACCCATTCCTGCATCTACCTACACATCTGTATACCCTACTTATTCCCTGCATCACCAGCCTCTATATCACCTACAAGCTCTGCTTAATACCCCTACCATGCTTCTGTATCTATTACCTCATCCTACCATGCCTCTATATCACCTACCATGCCTCTGTGTCACCTACCATGCCTCTGTATCACCTACAAAGCCTCTGCATCACCTGCCCATGCCTCTATATCACCTACATGGCTCTGTGTCACCTACCCATGCCTGCCTACCATGCCTCCTATATCACTTGGCTCTGCATCACCTGCCTCCTGTCATCTCTACCATGGCTCTGTCACCTACCATGCCTGTGTCACCTACCATGCCACTGTGTCATTTACCATGCCTGCAGTGCTGGTAGTGTTAATTTTGGAGTAGTACATGTAACTACATGTACACTGTATATATATATAGTAAGTATATGGGCCGATAATTTTTTATTGTTGTATTTTTTGTAGGGAGAGTGCCTCAATAACTCAGGTGGGTAATTCAGCAAGGCCGAGTTATCAAGGGTTTACTGTACAAACTTGATTCAACAGCAAGAGATTAATTTTATTATGTGTGAGTCTCTTATTGTTTGTGGTAATAATACACAAGATAATGTTTTTATTGTTGCAGCTTTATGCTAGGATGATATATGAGGCAACTCTGTGGTGACACCTTGACGACTACTATAAAGAGATCAGTACTGTGCAACCTTCACTAAAGTAATAACTTGATTTGACTCTTACTTTCATTCTTGATGCATAAATGTGTGTTATGGTGATAGTATACACAGATGAGACTGTCTTTCCTGTTGCCAAGTGACTGACATGTTCATCTCTGGTACAACACAGTTCAGTACGTACTGTACTGTACTGTACTGTACTGTACAGTACAGTACTGAACTGTACTATACTATACAATCTGTACAGTACTGTACTGTACTGTACTATATTGTACTATACTGTATTGTTCTATACTGTACTGTACTATCTGAACTGTACTATCTGTACAGTACTGTACTGTACTATACTGTGCTGTACTAAACTGTACAGTACTGTATTATAATGTACTATACTGAACAATACTGTACTGTACTATACTGTGCTGTGCTGTATTGTACAGTGCTGTACTGTGCTGTACAGTGCTGTACTGTGCTGTATTGTACTGTACTGTACTGTAATGTATTACATTGTATTGTACTGTACTATACTGTATGTGTACTGTACTGTATTGTACTGTACTATACTATGTGTTGTACTGTACTGTGTGTACTGTGCTATGTGTACTGTACTGTACTGTGTTGTACTGTATTGTACTGTACTGTACTGTAATGTATTACATTGTATTGTACTGTACTGTACTGTATTGTACTGTACTGTATTGTACTGTACTGTATTGTACTGTACTATACTGTGTTGTATTGTACTGAACTGTATTGTATTGTACTGTACAGTACTGTGCTGTACTGTGCTGTGTTGTACTGTAGTGTACAGTACCATACTGTACTGTGCTGTGTTGTACTGTAGTGTACAGTACTATACTGTACTGTACAGTAGTGTTCTGTACTGTACAGTACTGTATTGTACTGCACTGTGTTGTACGAGGTGGGGTGGGGCAGGACGAGGTGGGGTGGGGCAGGACGAGGTGGGGTGGAGCAGGATGAGGTGGGGTGGGACGGGGCTGGAGATGGTTGGCACATATAGAAGGGTTTATTACATAACTCTGGCACTTTCAATGATTATTATTATTATTATCATCACTACTTTTCTTTACATAATATATAATGGTAACCGGGGACTATACAGGTTATGTTTGAGCAGATAATAAATTTTCTAATGTGGTAAAATGTAAACCTACCAACACAAGCTGTAGCTATACAAAGTTTACCTGCTTGTGCTTCATTATACTAATACTGACAGGTGACTTGTGAAGGACAACATATTAACATTAAGGACTTAATCTTTACAATACAGTGGCAGCTTAATTATATCACGGACTCTCTCTCTTATAACACATGTACAGTACAGTAAAGATAAACAGTATTTTATTGTTATGTTTTTCATAGGTTGTGCTAAAGCTTCACCTCAAGAGGTTGGAAGGGGGTACAATCCACTGTTCTTGAAGGCCTCTTGAACATCCTCAGGGTGACCTATCTTAGCCAAGAGAGTTTTCAGCAAAGCTGTAAAAGAATTAGGAGTTATGACATCACTATTGCCTTTCATCGTCCGCTCCAACACCAGCTCCTTCCAGGAAACTTCTAGAGGCTTGAAGACAGCAGAGCGGCTGCAGGAGCTGGGGGGAGCTATGAAGGAGGGAGTAGAGGATGATCTGGTGCTGGAGGCAGAACTCCCACACCTCTGGAGACAGGTAGGAACACCGACTGTCCAGAAAGAGCCACACGGGCGTCTCTATTCCAGCATTCTGGATCCAGGGCATGAACACCTGGCTCAAGTACTCCTGAAAGATCTCTGGAGTCATAAACCCACAGCCAGACTCTGTCAACAGCCAGTCCTGGAAGATGCTCGACTTATCACTACTGCAAGGAGTCCCCGAAGGTGATGTGATGGCTCCAGGCAGTGTGCGGCCATCAGCACACAAGCTCATGAAAACGGTTATAGAGCTGTTCTCAGTCTTAGCACGGTCTAGGACATTTTTGGGACAATGTGGAGCGTGGACAATACCGGCCCCGGAGCACAAAAAAAAAGTAGTCTCGTCGGCAGTATATATGCGACTGGGGTTAGTCATGGCATCTGTAAAGCCTCTGTTTGAACAAAAGACATCTAAGTTTTCCTTCCAGAAATGCATCTTATGCTTAATGACTCCCAGTTTATAGGCAAGGAGGTCATCTGGGGTGCAGAGACAGAGATGAGGATGACGTCTGAAGAAAGTCTGGTACCAGAAGGGTCCAGGACGATCATCCTTCAACGGATTATTCCTGCCCTGAGCACGTAACTTACGCAAGAAACTGTGCATTACTTCCTGCACGTCCAACTTGGTCCTTAAGAAGCCCACCTCTGCCCACTGCCTAAAGTAATCAACGATGCGGTGCTCCTCTTGGGTGGTGAAGAGGTTGAGTCTGGGGTTGGAAGACGTTTTGTTGCAGCTCATGAGTCTATCGTGGAGGGTGGTCAGCGGGACGCCGTACTCGCGAGCTGCTTGACGTTGACTCATCTTTCCCTCGCACACAGCATCGAGGGCCTCCAGTAATGTCTCCTGGTTGTACTGGCTGTACTTCTTACGCCCACCCATCTGATGAAGTAACATAAAGCCAACTTTAACATAAGGTCAGCTTTTGCAACATAAAGCTAACTAGCAAGGCTTAGGCTAACAGGCTAAGAGAAGGCCACACTTAACTAACACAACTAACACAAGAGTATCTGCAGGTGATACACTAACACAAGAGTATCTGCAGGTGACACACTAACACAAGAGTATCTGCAGGTGACACACTAACACAAGAGTATCTGCAGGTGACACACTAACACAAGAGTATCTGCAGGTGACACACTAACACAAGAGTATCTGCAGGTGACATACTAACACAAGAGTATCTGCAGGTGACACACTAACACAAGAGTATCTGCAGGTGATACACTAACACAAGAGTATCTGCAGGTGACACACTAACACAAGAGTATCTGCAGGTGACACACTAACACAAGAGTATCTGCAGGTGACACACTAACACAAGAGTATCTGCAGGTGACACACTAACACAAGAGTATCTGCAGGTGACACACTAACACAAGAGTATCTGCAGGTGACACACTAACACAAGAGTATCTGCAGGTGACACACTAACACAAGAGTATCTGCAGGTGACACACTAACACAAGAGTATCTGCAGGTGACACACTAACACAAGAGTATCTGCAGGTGACACACTAACACAAGAGTATCTGCAGGTGACACACTAACACAAGAGTATCTGCAGGTGACACACTAACACAAGAGTATCTGCAGGTGACACACTAACACAAGAGTATCTGCAGGTGACACACTAACACAAGAGTATCTGCAGGTGACACACTAACACAAGAGTATCTGCAGGTGACACACTAACACAAGAGTATCTGCAGGTGACACACTAACACAAGAGTATCTGCAGGTGACACACTAACACAAGAGTATCTGCAGGTGATACACTAACACAAGAGTATCTGCAGGTGACACACTAACACAAGAGTATCTGCAGGTGACATACTAACACAAGAGTATCTGCAGGTGACACACTAACACAAGAGTATCTGCAGGTGACACACTAACACAAGAGTATCTGCAGGTGATACACTAACACAAGAGTATCTGCAGGTGACACACTAACACAAGAGTATCTGCAGGTGACACACTAACACAAGAGTATCTGCAGGTGATACACTAACACAAGAGTATCTGCAGGTGATACACTAACACAAGAGTATCTGCAGGTGACACACTAACACAAGAGTATCTGCAGGTGACACACTAACACAAGAGTATCTGCAGGTGATACACTAACACAAGAGTATCTGCAGGTGACACACTAACACAAGAGTATCTGCAGGTGACACACAGGGTTCTATACGCAGTCCTCACACTTTTTAATGTATAGTATATATCAGGTGCCACTAAGAGAGCCTGGGCTCTCACTTGGCTCAGCAATGTTTATATTGTTAATATTATCCACTCTGTATCTGTATTTTTCTGGCTAACTAACTGTTTCAATATCAATATTAAGAGAGATGTTTTCCACTCGGTACAATATTATTCTCACGGACATTGCAAAGAGCAGTGGCTGTACTGTACTTGTTTCCAAGAAGAGTACAGTACAATACTGTACAGAACAACACAGACCACACTATATGATAAAATGTTAAGCCTCTTTCCACTTAATACAGGGTGGTAATAATTAACAACAGTCAAAAGTAACATAGATAATTGTCTACAACAAGGTCACTAAGCTTTTATAATAATACTGCATGAGGCGCCTCCCCCTACTTGATTAAATTGTAATTGTTATTAATCTTCATAGTATTTCACTTCATCTTTAATCTGCCAATCCCTCTACTAGACCCCTTGATGATACACTTCAGAGAAACTGTTTTTTGATAATGTGTTCAACCTACCCATCCATCAGGCTGATACTCTGCTGGACTCAGTACTGGCCTCCAGGAATATTTTACTGTCAGGAAATAGAGCTTTCACAGGGAACCAAATCAGACGAGTTTGAGGGATGGGCCATCAATGGTCGGTGGTTCTTAAGAACTCTGAATATTTTTCTCTGTTGGTTTTCAGGGCACGATGAAGGTAATTTCTTGTAATCGTCGGTCTTCTGAGTACAGTATGCAATGGTCATAAATGATTCACTTATTATTGAGCAAAATAAGAAGCATCACCTTCCAAGAAGAGCATTCAACTTTTGCTTTTCTGAGTCAAGGACTTTATAATTGTGTTCATTGTACTGTGCTGTGCTGTGCTGTGCTGAACCACAATTCATGTGTCACAAGACAATCTGGAGGTCTGGTTCTTGACTAAATACTGCAGTCCCTTACATTGTTGAAACCTGCATATGTGATCCACTATGTTTGTCTGAGGACGTCAGTGGAACCAAATGAGCTACAACCCAATGGTAATCTAATTCACTGTTTATATTGGTATGCAGTGGTAGATCCAGGGGGCTGTGAGAACCTGAGCTCTTAATTGACTGCTCATATGGTGTTGTTCAACATAAAACAATAACAAAGACTCATATACTGACTGTGTACTGACTTAAACACTTACTACACAAAGAACACCAACACCCCTCAAACACACATCTGGGATCTGCTACTATTGGTATGAGAGATGCCCCAACCTTCACCAATGTGTCTGATGGTTTAATGCTCATCTTTATCTCTTGGGAAAAAACAAAACAAATATCGTTTAATTAATATGATTAAAGCCCAAAACTGTTTCTAGTCCTTCCTGCTGACACCAACGGCCAAGGTTCCTTCTACACCACTTCAGCTATCAACATCCCTCAAACAATGTTACTTCCCTGTAGGAATAAAACTATAGTCATATGAACTGCATATTTATTTATATTTTTTAACATTCTATGTTTAGCAACACAGGCAGAAAGATATTAACAGACGTAAATGTACAGAGGCTGGTTGAGGAGGTGTGTCCTGTATCTGTTTGGTTTTATAGCTTGTAATTGTGATAGTTTTATCCTCCTTACTGTATACAGCACATGTGATCCTCTACTTACCAATATCTGACTTAAGAACTTTCAGAGATACAATCAAACATACAGTGTGTGGGTCATTTATGGTGAATGATAGCTACCTGGTGCAGTACATGCTTGTGGTAAGTTAACCTTACCAGTAAGCTCCTTTATTCTTGTGTTGCCTAATATACCCCTAGATTCTTACTTTATGTTTATCACTATACAGTACAGTGCTTTTTACACCACTATAAATCTACAAAACCTTGTACTGTACAAATGAAGATTTACAGATACATTTCTTTTAGTTTGCATCTGCTAACATTCCTGGTGGCATTGTTGCCAAGTTACACACATAACTGTAGCCACCTCCCTTTAACCCTCTTGCTACCGGCCAAGCTGTGAGATATGTTATGGTTATTTTTTAACTCATAATTTCAGGTAGATAAACTTAGCTTTATTATTTATTTTTTTTTTACTCAGTCACATGCACACATAATCCTTCATACATAATTTACAATAAAAAGCAAAATAAATAATTATCATTGGGTCAAAACATTTCTTTGTGTACAAGAGTTAGCAGGCTGGGCGGGGGAGTGGGAGGAGCAGAGTGTGGGAGCTCCGTTGTTTAAGGTCAGCAGAGGCAGCATCCCAGCTGGGCGGGGGAGTGGGAGGAGCAGAGTGTGGGAGCTCCGTTGTTTAAGGTCAGCAGAGGCAGCATCCCAGCTGGGCGGGGGAGTGGGAGGAGCAGAGTGTGGGAGCTCCGTTGTTTAAGGTCAGCAGAGGCAGCATCCCTGGGCGGGGGAGTGGGAGGCAGAGTGTGGGAGGTTGTTTAAGGTCAGAGAGGCAGCATCCCAGTGGTGGGAGGAGCAGAGTGTGGGAGCTCGTTGTTTAAGGTCAGCAGAGGCAGCATCCCAGCTGGGCGGGGGAGTGGGAGGAGCAGAGTGTGGGAGCTCCGTTGTTTAAGGTCAGCATAGGCAGCATCCCAGCTGGGCGGGGGAATGGGAGGAGCAGAGTGTGGGAGCTCCATTGTTTAAGGTCAGCAGAGGCAGCATCCCAGCTGGGCTGTGTTGCAGCGTCAGTGCAAATGGCAGTTGTGTAACTTTCATTTAGCTTTTCCTTAATGGTTTTAGCTACATTTTTTCATTTATATTGTATACAAATGTTGCATGAAGTTGCACAATTGTTAAATAACATAAGAAAGGTAGGCAGTATGGGTTATGAATGGAAGGACAGTTGGTAGAGGGAGTTGTGAGCTTGCATCAGTCTTTTGGTTTATCATGTAGGCCGTTACTTTACATCTGTCAGAATATTCCTTACATTATTTCTTATATTTCTACAACATGTTCAGTAACTACAAGAGTAAAGTTGGTCTTACGAACAAGCCTCATGAAGGTAACTTGTTCATAAGTATAGGAACACAAGTGTAATTCTTATCAAGGAAAGTACAGTACAGTACAGTACAGTACAGTACAGTACTATACAGTACTGTACTGTACAGGGTGTATAAAGCTCATTTAACAGTAAGAGTACATAATGTGCCCCAAATGTTCATTACTGGTGATATAACAAACAGGCCAGAGGGCACAGGTTATTTGTCTCATTCTGCTCCAAAAAAACAACAAAAAAGACTCTAAAGGGTGAGAAAAGATGTACAGGTTGTACCTCTCTGGTCCGGCATTCTGTCGTCTGGAAACTCCCGTGGTTCGGAACGATTTTAGTTTGTCCAATAGGTAGATAGGCAGCTTTTTTTTTTTTTAAACTTATCCGAATTATTATTATTATTATTATTATTATTATTATTATTATTACAGGAGTATTAAATTTTCACCCCTCAGGCCCCAATGTGGGTCAGTGACCTATTCCCGGGTGGGCTAATCCCCGTAAAAAAAAAACAAAGCCGCGGGAAATTAAGCTTTGTTTACATCCGGCAGTTCGACTACTCTCTCTCTCTCTCTCTCTGCTTGTCTATACAGAGTACAACATTTAACCCTTCAATATATATGAGCAGTAAATAAGTGTTGCTTTCATATTCTTATGGAGAGTAATGATGATATGTTTTCAC